ATTTATTTAACAGAGATAGAGAGCACAAGTAGGCAGAGTGGCAGACAGAGGGAGACGGAGAAGCAGGCTCTCCGCCGAGCAGGGAGCCCGATGCGGGGCTCGATCCCAGGACCCTGGGATCATGACCTGAGCCGAAGGCAGCCGCTTAACTGACTGAGCCACTCAGGCGCCCCAGGCCTTTGGATTTTAAATTCAGGGCTCTGTAAATATTTTACTGCCCTGTGATAGACACACACACACACACACCACACACACACAAACACCTCACAAAGAAGCTTTCATTTACCTGCCTTACCTGGCAGTGTCTAGAAAACAGCTGGGCTTTGTCTTGGACTGATACAGAAACGGGGACTTTACATATTCACTTTCCTGATCAGTAAAGTTCCCAGGAGTGCACACACAAAAAGGACTGCCCATCTCTGGGGCGGAGAACTTGGCAGGAACCCGACGATTCAGAAGTGGGAGGAGATGCTCAGAACAGGACGGAAAACAATCCCAGCCCTCTACTGAAGAGACAATGGGTTGGAAAAATAAACTATATGAAGTCATTCCAGTTCTTGTGGGACGGCCTGTGGTGTGAAGGAACAAAGTCAAATGGAGAATTCTCACTAACTCTGGGGCTAACCTGTTCTCTTTCCCAGCCCCATACCTCCAGTGCTCACATTTAAATGACAGCCAAGTGGCAATGTTGTCTAGCAGTTAACACCTGTGCTCTGGAAGCAGAAAGATGTGAGTTTAAGTAACCAGTCTGCCACCTACCATCTCTTTGACCTCCTTTCTCTACCCTCGTTTCCTTATATGTAAAATGGGAAAGATAATAGTGACAACTTATGGTTGTCTCTTATGGTTGTCTTGTTGTTATTGCATTGCTAGGATTAGATGGAATAATTCATGACGAGCACATAGCACAGTGCTTGGCCTAATCAATATTGGCTGTTTTTAATAATTGGGGATTTGGAGAGAAACAGTTCGGTGTACTAACAAAATGCAAGGTCTTTGGAATCCCAAGGTCTTCGGCTTAAATCCTGGCTCAACCATTTACAAAATGGCCGATGGACAAGACATTGGCCTTTTCTAACAAAACAGAGGAGTGTGGTTGTTAATAAGATTTGTTCCTTTGGACCCTTGAAAGAACAGCACCAGGTCAGGTCTGCACAACGTTTGGCTTAGACATGTAGATGCTGGGTTGATGTTGATGTTGCATTAATAAGCCTGGATTGCTCCATGAAGTGGCTTATATTGTAGTCTACTAGAGCCATTTTGGGGGTGTTGCTGGGGGATGGGGATCTCCAGGACCCTGGCCCAGCTATCACAGGAACTTTTCCCTCCCACCCTCTAATGAAGCAGGGATGAAAGTACCACAATGTATTAAGGAGGGCACGTATTGCATGGAGCACTGGGTGTTATATGCAAACAATGAATCATGGAACACTACCTCAAAAACTAATGATGACTAACATAACATAATGGTGACTAACATAACATAATAAAAAAAAAGATTGCTGGAGACACCTAGAACATCCCTGCTGGATTTGAGAGCAAGCCTGGCTTCCGAGAGGTGGGTTGTCCTTCTCCTGGCCAATTCATTCAAGATCAATTTTCAGCTCAAGACAGACTTTTTAAGGAGAGGAGTGAGTGAGAAAGCAGTGCTAAGTTGACTGGCCACAGTAAGTAAATATTAAACAGCCAAAATATCAAAGACCCTGATACTCAAGCAGAAGAGGCAGTCACTTTTAGGAAGAAAATGGGGACAGGAAGAAAAGTCTACAAGACACTTTGGATCTCAGTGGATCTCCCATGTGGAACTGTAACTCTGGTGTTGTGGGCATAGAAGACCGGCTCTGGGCCAGGCAGCCTGGTTCAGTCTAGCTTTCACCAGTTACCAGCTCTGTGACATTGAGCAGTTTTCTTACCCTCTGGTGCCTTGGTCTGCTCATCTGTAACAATGGGTCTATGGTAGAGATAGTGGAATTCTCTGAAGATTCCATTCACACTTCTCTTTTCATTTCAAAGCCTCTTTTGTAGTCAGAATGAGGCCACTGAATTCCAGGTCTGGATAATGAACACTAGGCAGACACGAGTCACATCTGGTCTAGGGCATTTAAGAGCAGTTATGAGGTCTCTATACTCTCTTCCCCTGACTCAGTAGTCCTGGAAACCCTGTATGGAGATAGTAACATCAAAATATGGCAAAGACACTATCAGCCTCATTCTCTGTTGTATTGTATGGATGGAGGTTTCTGTGATTTGTCCTGACCGACCACCTGGAACTGCATGCACACATGAGGGCTAAAGAATGTTGTTTTGTGAGACTCCCGTGCTGCGTAAGTGATCTTGGGAGCCTAGTTAGTTATTAGATGGCTTCCAGGTCAGAACTGGCCCTTCTGGTCTGGACTGTAAGAGCTATATTTTGCCTTGCATCTCTTCTGGCTCCAGGCTGGGCTGCCCCCTCCCCAGAATGGAATCTGGAGGGAAGGGGAGGTAAACACACCTAGCCCAGGCTCCTTGAATATGTAAAGACATGATAACATAGGAATTCAGCTCACTCCAAACTGCACAGAGGCAGACAAATGTTTCACTTCAGAACCCATCATTTGCCCTATAAATACGGCCCTTATGGAGATGGTCAGCTGGAAGTTTTAGCTGAGGGGAGGACGCTCCACCCAGGCCTCTCAATCGGGACTCCAGCCTGTCTCCATCGGGCTTCCCCAGCTAATGAGGTTGGATGTTTTAAGTACCCAATTTGATGTAACTTTGCCTTATTCTTTTTTTTTAAGATTTTATTTATTTATAATTATTTGAGAGAAAGAGAGCACACTTGAGCACAAGGGGGGAAGGGGCAGAGGGAGAGAGAGAAGCAGACTCCCGGCTGAGCAAGGAGCCCAATGCAGGACTTGATTCCAGGACCTGAGATCATGACCTGAACCAAAGGCAGACACTTAACCAACTGAGCCACCCAGGCGCCCCACGATCCACTTTTTTTGAGAGTACCCAGACCATGGAGGGAGATGGGAGATGGAATGATAACCACCAGCAGATAGAAAAGAATGACCAAAAAAAAAAAAAAAAAAAGACTACATCAAAAAGCTGGATCTTAGTTTCTATAAATAGCCCTGCTCTTCTGAGCACATGCCCCCTTCCTGCTCCCTCCTCCCCTTTATCCCTCCTTCGGTGACAGACTGGCTCTACCGGCCTACTGAAGGTTTGGTTAAAGGTAACTAACATAACATAATAAAATTAAATTAAATTTTTAAAAAAAGGTAACTAAAATTAAGAGCGGAGTTCTCAGAGCTGATTTGCTGTGTCCAAGCTGACTGCACCTTTGACTACAGCTGATTCTCTTGGCCCCCACTCCACCCCTCACACTGCACCTCTCAAGCATGAATCTCTTCCTAGTGCTTGGTGTGAACCCAGCCAGGTGCCTCCATGGGCCTCATCGCGGGGGGATCTCTACTGCACCTGTGTGGTGATGTTGGCGCATGACCGGTTCCCGGTGGGCGGGTCCCTGCAGCAACGGAACTAGGACTCACTCGGGTGCCTTCCACTCTCAAAGTTGGCCCCTTTCTGATAACCATCAGTTTGTGCACTATAGTTAAGAGTCTGTTTCTTGGGGGCCAGGGCGGAGGGTGGGGGGATAGGTGAAATAGGTGATGGGGAATAAGGAGCGCACTTGTGATGAGCACCAGGTGTTGTATGTAAGTTCTGAATCACTGAATTATACACCTGCAACTACTATCACAGTGTATGTTAACCAACTGGAATTTATTTTATTTTTAATTTTTTTTTAGAGAGGGGGGTAGGTTCAGAAGGAGAAAGAGAGATTCCCAAGCCAACTCCCCGCTGAGCCCGGAGCCCTTTGCAGGGCTCGATTTCCACAACCCCGAGATCATGACCTGAGCTGAAATCGAGTGAGCCGCTTAAACAACTGAGCCAGCCAGGCGCCCCATTAACTAACTGGAATTAAAATTAAAACTTTAAAAAGTATATTCCTTAAATATAAATAAAACATAAAAAAATAAAATTTGGCTCCTTTCGCCATGGATCCTTGGCTAGCTCCTTCCTTTTAGGTGAAGATGACACTATTTGCCTTTTCTTTCAGGTTTTCATTCTGGTCCCATTCCTTCCTTCTTCTCTTGTAATCTTGTCCCATTCTTACTGTTTCTCAGACTTAGTCAGCCATAGCACACCTTCATTTCTTCTCTTTCTTTCCTTCTTTCCTTGTTTCTATCCTTCTTCTTTTCCTCCCACCTCTCCCTCCCTCTTCCTTCTTTTTTGCTATAACCATGCACGATTACCTCTACTCTTATTTATTCAATATTCTCCTTTACATCAATTTCCTGAAAATGTTAAATAAAACAACAACAAAAACCCATGGCAGTCCAAATGAAGCTCTGTACCACTACTATAATTAAGCAATCATTATTTTTTTAAAAGATTTTTATTTATTTGTCACAGAGAGAGAGACAGAGGCTGAGCAAGCAGGGGGAGCGGCAGGCAGAGGGAGAAACAGGCCTCCCGCTGAGCAGGGAGCCCAATGCGGGGCTTGATCCCAGGACTCTGGGATCGTGACCTGAGCCGAAGGCAGTGGCTTAACTGACGGAGCCACCTAGGCGTCCCTAATTAAGCAATTATTTTACTTGCCACAAGGAAGAAACTAGAAATGAATACAGAGAAAGCAAAAATTGTTGCTGTTATTAAACCCCATTTCCGATAGAGTTCCCTGCCAAATACTTGAGACCAGTCTTGTTCTCTTTTTGTTAAAAAAAGGGAAATGAAGGTTTGATCAGTTGTTTATTGCTATGATAGTATTGCATAACAAACAGTGGCACACATTTATTTAACACACATTTCTCTCTCTCACGAATCTCAGACTAGTGGCTCTTTCCATAGTGGTCAGCAGAGGCACCCAAAATCAAGCCAAACCCTGTAAGTACATTTAAAACTTCTGTTTGCATCATCTCTGTTAACATTCTATTGGCCAGGGGTGCC